TCTTGAAATTTAACAATCTTATGAGTATTAATGACCACTCAGGCTCTGAACCATTTGGTGGATTATTTTAACTTTTGGTTAAAATTTGACAGATGAAAAGTTATCGATTAACCCTGCTATCCGAGCATGGTTATTTCTGACAGACAAGAAGTTAAATTTTGACAACCGTGGCTCGAAAACCGGTCGATCGACAGCACGGGGATTTTCGAACATAGAAAATAACTTTCGAAATGTCACTTTTAACCACGAGTTAAATTTAACTCAGCAAATGGTTCACAGCCTCAGACGTTTCGGAAAGAAAAGAGTAGAAGATGGCGCGTTTTGACGGACAGTGAAAACCCCTTATCAAACGGAATCTAATCCGGTCGGAACCGGTGCGAAAATGAAGTGCTACTAGCGGTGCAGTGGAGCGTGTTGAGGCAAAGATTAGGATGTGTGGGAAAAACCAGTTGAACTGAGCTATCAAGCTGAAAATTGGTTGAGGGATACACCGATCGTTTATTATCATCAACTTTCCAAATTGTTCATCCATGAGCCCCTCGACATGGAATCAGCACTTATGAGTTCTAATTATTATATGCATGGTGAAAATCTGCTATTTATCAATTTTATCTAGATGAAAGCGTCATTGGGACGGTACTAATGGATATTTTTGGTTGCTATTGAAAATTTAGTCCGTTGCTGAATGTATGTATGGGCCCTACGATCCAGTTCGAACGAAGATTATGGTGTCCGCTTCCGGTGATCGAAGTGTCCAGTTGCGGAATACCAGTCCTGAGAGTCAACGGACATTCGCATATGGTCAATCTGGAGCATAAGATGGACATATACAGTACCAAGAACAGGGCACTGGGCCATTGTCAAGAATTGGGAGGAGGAGATATTACCGGAGTAGTGGATGGAAGGTGTCGTCTGCCCAATCTACAAAAAGGGCAACAAGTTAAATTGCTGCAACTACCGCGCGATCACACTGCTGAGCGCCGCCTACATGGATTCATGGGTGCCCGCGCTACCACGGACCACATTTTTGCGATTCGGCAGGTTCTGTAGAAATGCCGCGAATACAACGTGCACACACATGATTTGTTCATCGATTTCAAATCCACGTACGACACAATCGATCGAGATAAGCTATGGCAGATTATGCACAAGTACGGATTTCCGGATAAACTGACGGGATTGGTCAAGGTGACGATGGATCGAGTGATGTGCGTTGTTCGAGTCCCTTTGAATCTCGAAGGGGGTTACGGCAAGGTGATAGACTTTCGTGTCTGCTATTCAACATCGCGTTAGAAGGTGGATCAGAAGAGCTTCTTCGAATAAAATTCGCCGCTGCACGAAGTTGACTATCTACAAGACGCTGAATAGTTACGCTCATTGTTCTCAAAACAAAAGAAGCGCTCCTAGCGAATCCCCTTTTTCTACGTTTATCCGTAGGCCGAAGAAAATCTAATGGCGTTTCAATGTGTTAGGCAGGGTGGCAAGTGAACCAAGAAAACTTTTATAAATGACGGGAATTTTGTTTTACCAGGAAAAACCGGGAAAAAACCGGGAATTTTTAAGCAAAACCAGGAAAATAATAATTTATAGATGCATGTCGGTTTGAAATGATGACGTTACTATTTACGTGTGATGCGTGCAAAATAATATATCTATATATTGCTTTTTCAGAGTAAAATTAGCATTTGGCGTCAGATTTGACAACCGAAATTGAAAATCGTCACTGACAGCTGCTTTTGGGATTTTCGAACACTGAACCAAAACCATCAAGAGAAGTCATTGTTAACAAAAGCTGTTAGGCCCTAATTCCAGCTCTATCTAGATATATGTGAATCAGCAATATTCAATACACTTTGATAATCGAGCAGAAAAGCTGTCATGACAACGCAACTTTGCTTTATGTTCTCAGGCTGTGTTCCATTTGGTGAATTTTCACTTAAATTTGACACTTCGAAAATAAGTTAAGATGTTCGAAAATCTCTCTGTTGTTGACCTTCCTATTTTCGATAAGGTGTTTGTAAATATTGATTCCTGGTCTGTCAGAAATAAGTCTCTCAGGCTGTGAACCATTTGCCGAGTTAAATTTAACTCGTGGTTAAAAGTGACATTTCGAAAGTTATTCTTGATGTTCGAAAATCCCTGTGCTGTGCATCGACCGGTTTCCGAGAAGAACTCAGCCACGGTTGTCAACATTTAACTTCTTGTCTGTCAGAAATAACCACGCTCGGATAGCAGGGTTAATCGATAACTTTCCATCTGTCAAATTTTAACCTAAAGTTAAAATAATCCACCAAATGGTTCAGAGCCTCAGTAGTCTCAGTGTTCACTCGGCTGTCGACAGAAGCAGACCACTCTCAATGTGTGTCACGCGATCGTCTGTTTACTCGGCAGCAATCCTCATTGTTCTTCATCAACAGTTCTTTCAGTCGATGCATCGACTTTGGAAAGCAACCGTTTCGTGATGAATGTGTGAGTGCTGACCACATTTTGCGTCCTTTGCTGCAATGTAAGCGCTCTGACCCCCGTTGGCGATACAGCCATACAATGAAACCATTGGAAGCGGCTCCCGTTTTGATGGAGGAGGCTTTTTGGATAGAGGACGATAAAGTGTTTATTGTGTTATACCTTTTGACTATAGTTTTAAGATTTATTGTATAGTGACCAAGAATCCTCGGCTCTGTAAAGTTAATTCGATTGAGCCTTATCAAATAAATTAAAAAAAAAAATAAGTCTGGTACAATAGCAGGTTTTTTTGAAAATTTTCCATCTGTCAAATTTAAGTGAAAATTCATCAAATGGCACAGACTCAGTACAAACACGATGAAACCTCATATAGATCAGTGCACGGTCCCTAACCTCACAATTTGGTCTTGTTGTATCCCTTTCATTTAACACCAGAGTAAAACAGATAACTACGAATGTGAACCGAAACAAACCACGCAAAATTGTCAAATTTGACATCTACGTGCACTGATCTATCACAAATCTTGCTTTTGGTGCTGTGATTGGTGATTGACAAGAGAAAGTGCGATGTCTCCGGTAAAATGTGTAGCAGAAAATTGGCAATGTTTGAAAAATCATTGCTCTACAATTTATCGATAGATTTTAAATCTTTTGATACCGAATACATTTTTAAAATATCTAGTTTCAGATGGTGTCAATAAATTTGAAATTTGTCAATAAATAGCTGAGCTATGATTTTTCAAACATGGCAAGTTTGCCGTTACAGGTGGGCGTTGGCCAAATTTGGATTTTTCAGATATAATCCTAAATAGGACCTAGATTATTTAATACTCTAGTAACCTCAAGTCCGTGCTCTGTCACAATGTTTCATTGTGATTAATCAACACTCAGAGGGGTAAAATATAAAATTTGGGGTAAATTTGAAAGAAAGGGAACTTGGAGTGTAGAGCGCACTGCCCACTGGACGATTCTGAAGCCTGGCCAAGTGAGTGGGGTATGGGTTTATTTGCTTGAACGTCATTTCCAATGTATATATTGATACATTCAAACCATTGGCATTTGAGATAAGACAGTGATATGATGCAGAGGGCCCGCTTAGGAGGAGCCTAACCCATGCTATGGTTTCCATTTATAAAATAGTTCAGATAGACTAGAAATGACAGGTTTATAGTGAGAGAATGTACCATATTGGGAAAGCATAATTTTCATAGGGTTCAGAGCGGCTGAGCTGTTCGTTTGTAATTTGACCTTCCTTCAAACCCAATTTGGCTCTAGAACAATTTTAAACTTGTTCTGCATTATTCACATGTTGCAATTATTGAAAAGAGCTCGATATAAGATAGCCACAGAGAACAGACGTTGAGGCTCCAAAATTTCTCTAAAAACTTGTGTAAAGATTCCTATTCGACTTAAGCGCCACTAACGGCGACTTCCCCACTTAAAAACCCTCTTTGACAACATGATGGCGCTGGCGTTGCAAAACTTACACTAGACACTAAGTGCTGGTAGCGCCAAATGGCCAGTTTGTTGAGGTCGTGTATAGTTTCTGAGTATGGATGCCCATTTTGAAATAACTCATATTAGTACAGAGTAATAGTTTTATTGCTAGGGAACTTTCTTTTAGGATCGTCTTTTCTTCATACAATTCTCATTATTCATACTATATTAATCATGATCAGTCTTAGAAAATGTTATATGTTTAAGCCCCGTTCTAGATTTGTTTGTTATTCATAACTTACGCATTGCAGCTCGCGAGAGGTTACCAAATATGGGTTCTTTTTTTCATTCACAATAGTTTTAGGGGAGGGGGCGATCTGAGAGCTGAATAGAGGCAAATAAAATAGGGAACACAACACCATGACCCAAACGACTAACCAACGCATGCGGCTCACACTTAACTTGTTCTATTTCACACCAAATAATGATCACTAACATTCATATAGTCTCAGCATTATCGACATTTATAATCAAAAGGTGAGTTGTAAAGTATAATTACCGAGCCTACCCAGGGGAGGACCCGGATACGACCACCCATGTGTGTCTAGAGTATCGCACGAGCTGACGAGTGCAACGGGAAGGACAGTAGGCGTATAGACTAGGAGGTTAGTCCCTAGATAAGCCAACTTAGCGGTTGGCACAGCCTATACACTGAACAATTACAATTACAATTTCTCAACAATTTGTGACTCTTTATCAAATCCAACGGTACGTATGGAAAGGTGAATAAATTTAGAAGTCATCTTTGACAGAGATATTCCATTTTCTGTTCAAACCCGATTTAGAAAATTAGATCAAAAACCCTAGTCGATTACTAAGTGAAATGAATCGATTTCTAGTCAAAAAATATAACTTTTGATGTATAAATATCCCATCATATCCAGCGGCATTTTGAGGTATTGAATTAATTATGCCTTTTTTTTAAATCCCATTGTGCAATGGCGCGTAGTTACGTCTTTTGACCAAGCACCGATGGTGATATTGAAGATTTCGTAGACGTTGCCAAGGAATTTCGGATCAAATCCAACCGTACAACGCGATACAGTACATTACTCTTTCTTTTTATTTCACTTCCTTACCTTGTTCATCATTTGACGCTTACAATTTATGTTTATAACTAAATGTGTGTGTGTATGTTTCCTTCTGTTTTTGTGTATCTTCTTCTTCTTTTTCTGCGGCTTTTTTCATGCCTGTTGCTGTTCTTGTTGTTGTTATTACTGCTGCTGCTTTTTTCCTCTGACTCTCGGTAATATTTACAAAAAGATAATAAACTACGCGAGTGTTATGCTCTGCGTTCCGACGACTGTGATGCATCCGCTTGGAACTAACTTTGGAACTAAGTTTGCAGACTCACGTTTTGTTTGATTTTTGTTTTAAATTGTTTGCTGTGAAAATATGTTTTTTAAGTATGAATTTAGCTAATTTGTGTTTCTTATTTTTTTTTCTCTCATTTAGTTGTAGGACTTTTGGTAGTCTCTTTGCCGAATATTATCCTTTATGTACACAGTTAGCAAAATTAATCTGTGATGGTTTTGTTTTTGTATGTCATTCCGCATAATGAGCATATAAGAAAGCCGGTAATCTCGTTTCGTGACAATCTTTGCTCCAGTGTTCGGTTCTCTTTTAGTATTTTAATAATAAATGGGATACTCGCACTTAAAAAAACTTTCTTTTTTCACTTTTTCAGCTGTTACAGTTGAACGAATTTGGCTCTTTGGCGCTCGTTCTCAACTATACTGCTGATGTGTGCAATCTCTTTCTCTTTTTCTCAATTTGGCAGGAGTTCTCCGTTAGTTTTTGTTCGTTTTTATGTTTTTGTTTTATTCTCGCCGCGCCCCCGTTTTTTTTTAAATAGATCTAAAAAGTTCTAATTGTTTTTGTTTTGTTTTGTATTTAGATTAGGTTGTTTTTTTTTGGAAGGAAAGAAATTCGTTTGTTTACATTAGTTTTTTGTTTTGTTCATACTTTTTGGTTGCTTGGAGACGGGACGAGGCGAAACATAAATAGGTTCTACATCGATAAAGTATAGTTGGCTTCCGATTTGGCAAGGTTCGTTTCTTCTGGGATTTTTCTTCTTCTCTCGTCTGCCCCTACTGACTGTGTGTTTTAATAGTTTGAATTTTTGTATGGATCGTTTTCTTCTTTCTCTAGGTGCTAAACGCCTACAAAATCCTAATACGAACAAAAACCGTACATTCGTCATTTGTTTACGTTTTTGAGCAAAAAATTTCCACCTTAATGAGCAATGATTGGAAAACATGAACGTGGTATTGTATATTAATTTTCTTATTTGAAAATTGAGTTAATTTCTCTGGAAGAGCTGCTAAAATTTTTTGCTACTGTTGAATTGCAGAAAGGAGGCAGCCGGAGAGGGCTTCCGTGTTTGCAATCGGCTTTCGCTCGTAGTGCCACTTCCGCCTGTCTCAGTCGATCTACCTCCGGAACAACGAACAGAGCTGCTCAGCTATAAAAGTCGTGTAGGGATTTTTGTACAAAGTTTGCTAACAAAAAACGTTCTAAAATCTGCGTGGTGCTGCTAAGGTCATCAAAGATTTCCGCTAGTTCATTTATGTGTAAGGTGATTTTAATTTAATTCTAATAAAATTACATTACTTCATGTTTTTCATTCTCACTGCGAATTCGCTGGAATAGGATTTTGATTTTCTTAAACACTTCTGGTTCGTCTTGTTTTTCTGTTTAAAAATTGCAACGAAACAATATCTACACCATTGGTTTGTGTTAGTTTAGGTTGGTTTTAGTCTAGGTAAACACTTTATTTTACTAGCGATCCATTTTATTTTTTACAATATAAAGTTGACGTTCCCTCAAAGCCTACCATGACTAAGGCCGAATAGATTTGCACAGTTTTTTTTTTTTGAGTTTGTTTTGTTTTTGAATAATTTAACGGAGCAACAGAGATGGACGATTTGTTTCTTTATAAACTTTGTGAAGTACACATATAAAAATCAATCAACTTTACTTTTCTCTTACCATTGGTTCTCATAAGAAGAAGATAACAACACAAAGAAGGTGTGTAATAATAGGGTTCGGTTTGACCGTAAACTTTTCCACCATAGAGGTTTTCTCTTTAAAAAAAAAAATCTACTAAAGTAATAGACTACTAACATTGGAATCCAAGCTCCCGACACTTTCCCGATCGTTGCTTCCCTATACAATTTGAGCTACTCAAACACACACTCTACTATGCTAGTTAGATTTGACCTACTACAGAAGAATCAATAGATAAACATCAATCAAAAAACGAAAGGTGATTTTGAAAAAAAAATAACTGTTTAAATAGAAAATAAACCTAAATATATATATATATATTGGAGCTGCAATCGACTCGCGGGGAAGAAGACTCGAAATCACATGTTTGTATTTAATGTAGTTGCCTAGCTGTCACTCGTCACATGATTTTTTTTTTTTCGTTTTTCTTCGCCTCTCATTTTTAAGTAAAATTGAGGATGGATCCGGTTCGGGGTTTTGCATCCCAACTCCGCTCCGTCATACATAGTTGTAGGTGTGTGCGTGTGTATGTCTGCTGTGTGAATGCTTTCTTGGGTGTACGTATGTATGTATGTATGTATGTATGTGTGCGAGCGCGAGTGATGTTGTGTGCAAAACTCAGTTAAACATTGAAATCTCAGTCCGCAGTTTGGTGGTGGCGATCGTGATGGTTTTCCTTAGCTTCTTATCAGCAGTTGTAGTCGTCTTTGTTTGTCTGGGGTAGTTTGTAGAATTATTCGACACAGTTGATGCCTTCCCTTGGTTGAGGAGTTTGGTGTGACAGCTAGACGAAATCGTTTGTGGAAGGTCTGTTCAACGGTTCCTGGGCCTAGAATGGGGGAAAAGGGATGTTTAGTTAGAAATTTTTGCTTGGAAGTAAATGGTTCTTTAGAGATCCTTATACAAATATCTCATGCCTGCTAACGTCTCATTTAATCTTATTGAAATCATAACTAAAGTAAAATTGTAAACACTATCGAACTCGAAGTTTTTGATATGCAAACTAAAACTAACACTTAACATAATTGCATTGCGTCAAGCTCAAACGTTGCATCTTTTTAAACTATACTTACACTTAAATTAACTTAAAACAACAATGAACAGTTTAAAATGCCAGCAATTCTTTCATAAACTGTATTTTGTAATGCGATGTTTATAAATTCAAAGCAAAATTGTGGTGTACGTAAAGCAACATGTACATGCATTTTTGGCGTGTAGGTTAGGATATTAAGTAAGGTGGGTGTGCCAATTATTGCCATACGTTCCTATTAGGGTTTGTTCCAATTATGGCCCATGGAATTACTAAAGGAACGAATAGCCATAACTGCTTCATCTACCTTAGGTTATTTAGTGCGACATCGATGACACCTTGATTTTTTAATTTCCATCAGAATAACATAAACAAATCTATTATTTGCAAAGATTTTTTTTTATTTTTTTTGTTTAACAATTGATGTTTTTACATTCCACATAGACTAATTGACTGACGGTCGAATGGACAAAAGGTCGAATTGAACTTAGAGGCACAAAAGGTCGAATCAGGGCTGATAGTGGGTAAAGGGTGATACGGTCAAAATTTGGTCAATATCAACTTGACGTATTTCTTTCAATTTTGCATTTAAAAAACCTGAACACCCCTCATTTTGAAGGTGTGTGTGTGTAGAATGTTGCTCCTATTTTGATTTTGGAATTCACTCTTCAGTTGTCAAAATGCCGTCCAAGCAAGAAGAGCAGCGTATCAAAATTTTGCTCGCGCATCGCGAAAATCCGAGCTACTCGCACGCAAAGTTGGCAAAATCGCTAAAAGTTGCCAAATCAACCGTTACAAATGTAATTAAAGTGTTTGGGGAACGTTTGTCGACAGCCAGGAAGTCTGGATCGGGGGGAAATCGAAAACCGGAAGCCGCTGAGACGACAAAGAGAGTTGCCGGTAGTTTCAATCGAAACCCTAACCTCTCTCTCCGAGATGCCGCAAATAAGCTGGGTGTATCGTCTACAACCGTGCATCGAGCCAAAAAACGAGCCGGACTATCGACTTACAAGAAGGTAGTGACTCCAAATCGCGATGATAAACAAAATACGACGGCCATAGCGCGATCCCGGAGGGTGTACACGACGATGCTGACGAAGTTTGACTGCGTGGTAATGGACGACGAAACCTACATCAAAGCCGACTACAAGCAGCTTCCGGGACAGGAGTTTTATACGGCAAAAGGAAGGGGAAAGGTAGCAGATGTTTTCAAGCACATGAAACTGTCAAAGTTCGCAAAGAAATATCTGGTTTGGCAAGCCATCTGTACCTGTGGCTTGAAAAGCAGCATTTTCATAGCTTCCGAGACTGTCAACCAAGAAATTTACGTGAAAGAGTGTTTGAATAAACGTCTGCTGCCTTTCCTGAAGAAACACGGTTGTTCCGTACTGTTTTGGCCGGATTTGGCATCTTGCCATTACGGTAAAAAGGCCATGGAGTGGTACGCCGCCAACAACGTGCAGGTGGTTCCCAAGGACAAGAACCCTCCCAACACGCCAGAGCTCCGCCCAATTGAGAAATACTGGGCTATTGTCAAGCGGAACCTAAAGAAGACCAAAAAAACTGCTAAGGGCGAGCAGCAGTTCAAGGCAAACTGGCTTTCTGCGGCGAAGAAGGTGCACAAGGTGGCTGTACAAAATCTGATGGCAGGGGTCAAGCGTAAGGCCCGGCAATTCGGATTTGGAAAAACGGAAGCCTAACTGAATATTTTTCCTGAATTTTATACTAATTGAACTTTAATTTGATTTTTTAAATAAACGATTTCACCGATTTACACGCGTTTTCCCTTGACCAAATTTTGACCGTATCACCCTTTAACTTTGTCATTTCGAGATGTAATTAAAATCCAAATACACCAATCAATAGGAAATAACTCTCTAATTCTGCTACAATAAATGCTTTTCCAATTTTCCATTAAAAAACTGTTGAAAACTGTACAAATGAAAAATGATCATTTTATCACTGTATTCATGAAATAAACGTTCTCCCCAAACCCAGTCATCATAATCGAGTACCATTGGGTGGCACATCGTGCTGCTTGAATCTGAAAAGTTATAAAAGAACGCTGCTTTTGTGCCCCAACTCATAACGGTTTTGCCAACAAGATTCGCTCTCTCCCAGATTGTGCAAAACCATTTTGGAAGATGATCAAAATTTTGAAAAATAAGTCGAGACCGATCCCTCCGTTTTCCTCTGTTGACCAGAACTTGGACCCAACCCTACTCATAACCCCAGTTGAAATGGCCAATGCTCTTGAAACAACATTTTGTGTTTTCACATAATCTTGGCCAAACCATGGTGAGCCCCCATGAGCCCCCCTGACACCACCGTGCATGATGATTTTTTTTCCTCTGTTCGGGACCTAACACTACTGGGACCAGTAAATTGATCTATTGTAGTATGTCCCGTGTCCTTAGTTTAGTGCATGTCGTATTACTCCATCACTATTGAGAAATGATGAAGTATTCGAGTTTTACAGCTGCCACTCTTGCATTTATCGCAAGGATCCAACTCTAATTGAAAGGTTCCGCTATTTATACCCTTCGGAGTGTTGAAACACCCTCCGAAGGCGCGCCCCTTTGACAGTCAAAATTGGATTCCTTAGCAACAAAATTAAGGTATGACACCGATAATGACCATGCATCAGAACCCTAGTCTTAACCACTTCAAACTAGGGAACAACGAATAGAAGATTAGGAATAACATAGATGAAGACAGCTAACTCATTTTTTTTCCTTGTTTCAAGATCATCCTCGGTAGAAAAAGCCGAGTCTTGTCACTATCAACAAGGCATAAAAAGTAACCAGGACTAAGATGTGTTCCTTGGATTACTGAAAAATCCTGTTCCCCTAGTTTGAAGTAGTCAGGACTAGGAATCGGTATTAGATCTTACATCCCGTAGCGTACCAAGAAAATGTGATCTACCCACGTTAAGGGGCATGTATGATGATAGTAGAATATTGGCTGATGAGGTGATAGCAGCTATTAAAAGTACTAAAAACATTAAGGCTGCGGGTATGGATGGTGTAGTCAACCTCCAGTTGAAAAACTTGAGTATTGACTTCTTCAACCATCTTACCGTTATCTTCAACAAATGTTTGGAGCTTGGCTGCCTCCCTGCATGCTGGAAGTTAGCCAAAGTGATTCCAATACGCAAGCCTAGCAAAGATCCTAGCAGTGCCAAAAGCTATCGCTCCATCAGCCTCTTGTCCTGCATCTCGAAGCTATTCGATAAGTTGATACTCAGCCGTCTGCTGGTGTTTTCAAATGATAATAACATCTTTCTCAAAAAGCAATTCGGGTTTAGGAAACGCCACTCTACCATCCACCAACTCACACGGGTTACTAACATCATCAAGCGGAACAACTCCGTTTCCAATACATCTGCCATGGCATTGTTGGACGTCGAGAAGGGCGTTCAACAATGTCTGGCATGCTGGCCTTGTGTACAAGCTGCATCGATACAACTTTTCGATCTACCTCGTGAAGATCATCAAAACCTACTTGTCGGGCAGATCATTCCAGGTCTACTTGAACAATGGGGGGACTGATACGTTCAACGTTGATGCAGGGGTCCCTCAGGGTAGCCTGCTTGAGCCTATCCTATTCAACATTTTTACGTCAGACGTTCCTCCCCTGCCGGGTGGTGGTATCCTGTCTATGTTCGCAGATGACACCTCCATCATCTATAAGGGTCGAGTGATCCGTGCTCTAGCGAGTAAACTACAATCAGGCCTGGATGTTCTGTCCGACTGTCCGACTATTTCGGCAGCGCCGTCTCCTCGATGGTACAAGCGCTCCGAAGTGGATCCACCTCCTTGCCTGAATGATAAAGATACCGCGTTCTACAAGTCACGATTACTTTTCCGAAAGGACATATCCGCATTTGTAAATAACGCATTTTATCGTCGGTTTGGCGTAACTGATAGCTCGTCCACGTATACTAACGGCACTATATCAGATAGGGGAAAATTTCGCCTATCTGATGGTAGTGTTAGCATGCGTGGATGAGATACCAGTTACGCCTAATCGACGATCAAATGCGTTGTTTACAAAACCTGCTACATCGCTTCGAAAAAGTAATCAAAAAATACTTCTTGGGCTGTGTCCCAATTGCCGAGTTAAATTTAACTCGTAGTTAAACGTGACATTTCGAAAGTTATTGTTCGAAAATCCCGGAAATTGACCGGTTTTCAAACAGAACTCAGCCACGGTTGCCAAAATTTAACTTCTAGTCGGTCAGAAATAACCACGCTCGGATAGCAGGGTTATTAGATAACTCATCTGTCACTTTTAACCACGAGTTAAATTTAACTCGCCCATTGAGACACAGCCCCCTCGTAGCGTGTTTTGCTATACCTAATACATGGCCGGTCACAAGTTCTGAATCCCTCTCTCCCCCCTCAAATACTACGTTATTTATAAAAGTTCCCTAAGCATTGGGCAACAGTGAAAATCAGCAGCACACACACAAAGCGGATTTGACATTGACATGCGAAATTTCGGTATTGATCGTGAACATCTCGCGATCAGAACATTTTATCTTGAATTCCCTCCATTTAATTCTTGGTACATCTTTTATCTATTGATTGAATTAAAAAATACTGAATATTGTTTTTTTTTTTAAGATTTCGTGCGTTTTGTGAACGCACATCCATTATTTCGCATAAGAAAACGGGGTGTTTCTGCGGTGAAAAAAAAAGGATTTCCCTACACAGATTACAGATTTCTGTACCAAGCACTGACATTATCAGACGGTACCTCTATTTATGCTTTTATATAAGCTACGAAAGTCCATC